ATCGGGATTTGCTCTGTGATCAGAGGAAATGCTACTTGGCGCAGAAAAGTGGTGAAAATTGGAAGTTCAGTTTAATATAATACAACTATGTGAATAGTTCCGTCTGAAATGAATGAAAATAGTTGTTTTAATGGTTATTGAGTCAGATATGTGGCGGTAATGTTTGGTTTATCTAAAGGTTTTTATCTGTTACTGTGTAAATGAGTTTGGCTGTAATTTAAGAAAATATTCTAATAGATCTGCAGAGTCGGAACTATAAATATGATAGGAGTATATTTTTTTAATTGTTGTTTTGCACAATATGCTTAACTAAGTATTTTTTGTTGTTGAATATTAGAGATTTTGCAGATATATTTTGTAGATACATTGTTTAGATTTACTTATATATTTCTAAACCTTTTATAGAATAGAATGGAAAATCCCTTCATTGTCCCACAATGGGCAGATTTACAGCAGCAGAAAGATTATTGAAAATGGTCACACAAATGTGGACCTTAGAAAAATGTATAACAATAATATAATAGGGAAGAGTTAAAATATCAAAAATAAAATTCTGTAAAGTGTTTTAACAATATAAAACTGGAGAATTAATAACCAATATGCAGCTATGGACATTTTTACAGTAATGGATATTTGAAAATAGCAGCAACATCAGAGATGTGCAAAATGACAGCAGCATGTTATTTAACTGACTAAGGTTTCTATCATTACATTTGATTTTATTTGTTCCTGCTACCGGTGGTTGAAACCTTTATTCCACTCTGGATTCTTGTGAGTGTAGTCTTTGTTCACTTTAACTTTTTTTAAAATAAATAAATAAACAAACAGTTTTGAAAACCTCTGTATTCATTATTTTCCTGCTTTGTGTGTCAACTTTCACGGTTGCTAAGCAACAGAGCATACGGCGGTAAAACCCGCCGAAGGGTGGACCTGTTCGAATTTACAGCCAAAACTCTTCCGGCCTCCTTACTTTCAAGGACTTCGAAGGATCAAGTCTAGGTAGACCGCGTCCTTGGAGGATGCGTCCTAGGTTTTCGAACAGAGCCTCTGATTAAGAACAGGGCTGCCCGCACTGACGCGGCTCAGGGATTACGTCACACGGAGCGTCGTGCGTAGTGAAATCAGGACATTTCCTCACTTTCAACACATCCAACTGCTCTCGCGAATTTCAATTAAGTCATCTCAAAACCTAGAATAACTGTTGTTGATTGCAGGTGTGTAAAATAGTTCCCATTGATTTTGCTTGTAAAGCGGAGAGAATTGCCCTAGGCTTATCGCACCGTGACGTCACTGCCTGAAGATGTCAGGAGTGAGGTGTTACTATATTTGGGCAAAAATGGCCGCTCCCAGACTCAGTGATTGCAATAAAAAAATAATTTTTATTTTTTTTATTAATTAATGCAAAATTCATTAACTCACCGCAAACGTATTCATTTTCGGTATAGATAATGATCCATTGATTTTTCCCTGCTGATCACACTTTTCCTTTACTGTAAATTCTTTGAATAATTCAAACTTATTTTTCATACCCCCTCTCCCTCTAATTGCACTTAAATTATATTAGTCGAGTAACCTTCCTGTTAAACTTTTTTTTACAACACTCACAGACAAAAAATATATATGTATATATATCTACATATATATGCAATTATATACATATATACAGATATATACATGTATATACACACACACACACATATATATATATATATATATATATATATATATGTATATATATACATATATATAAGAGGAGCTCCAGTTTTATAGATACAGGTTTATAAGTGGATTTTCATATATATTTATTTATTTCGATTCCTTTCTAACTTCCAGGCAACATCTTTATGGGTTTTTTTTTTTATTTTTTTATTTGAGATGGAAAGAATACAATAAGAACTAAATGCTCAAATGAAAAGAATAAATAAAATAGTCTTTATTTTATAATCAGTAATTGTACATTTCATTTTTGGATAATCATCAAAACTTTTCCCTGAGTGGGGTGCTCATGGGAAAAGAAAAGGTTACACAAGTCAAAAAAGGTTGGGAAACAAAAAAAATGTCTTCTCTACTCTTTCACAGAACCCCAGCAATTAATCTTAAATTTTTTTTTAATGAATGTTCATTTTATTGGATGAACATAAATAATATTATCATGATTACATAATTTGTAACTGAAAAAGCATTTTTGAAAAAAAATGTCTCGGTTTTAACAGCATGCACAGGGTTGAAAAGTAGTTTGAAGACAAAATTATCCTTAACAATTAATCAAACAAGCCTTTCTTAGTTTCCAGAAATGATATTTATTTATAAAAATGACATAAAAAAAGAGTATAGGATATGATACATACATATAAATTTTTCTTTGTTCTTAAAGTTGAGAGGGCGGGTCTTTGCAAAAATGTGGAAGAATCCTCCCCTATACCTTTATTAATGACCCATTTTATCACTCATTACATTAAAAATATGATAAATAAAATTTGACCCAGAAGCCAAACATGTAATAAATCTTTAGCTATTTATTTATTTTTAAATAACTCTTTACCATGCTAAACAAAAAATGAAAACAGGAAAACATAATTTTAAAGCTAAATAATAACAATAGCAACCTGTAAAACTTCCAAGAAAAAATCAGAATGTCTGTGAACTGTTTTTACTGTAATATGTAGATATATTTGAAAAGTGAATTGTATAAAATTCTGGTGGTTCAAAACCACGTTGGGGGTAGATGAGCTGCCAGTGTGGGTCCTTAGGCAAGATCCATCACGGTAATGCCTTGTAACATTGTGTCTACTTTGTAAATCGCTTAAGCATCTGCACAATGTATAAAAACAAACATAAAATTGCAGTATAGTTATTTCTAATTGGCTAAAGTTAGGCACTTCTTAGAATTTGTCTTATTTTTTATTAAGTGCTGGATAAGGACATTTTTACATTTATCAAGAGATTAAAGCATAAAAAAATACAAAACTGTTTATTTTTCAGACATTTTGGAGAATTTTTTATATAAAACTGAGCTCAAAAGTTATCTTGAAATGATAACAATTAATCATCAGCCAAATGTTCAGTTATTTCAAAGTCATCAGGAATCTCGTTTTTGTGTGGTTTGTTTAAATCTTCCTTGTATTTTTTCTCCTTCCATGTGAAATAGAGGCCAATTCCACCACATGAAAGAATGGCTGCAACAAACATCAAAGCACATCTCATCACGGAGGAATCTGTTCAGACATAAGAAAATGTCCAAAAAGTTATTTCAATCTGAAAAACTCACAAAGAGCAAAGAGAAAAAGATGCAATTAGAAGAGTTTATTGATACAATAGTTTGAACTTTGGCGCTCAGGCCTCGGCAGGAAACATAAACGCTGATTTATACTTTAATGCAGATAAACTGATGTATGAGAATAAGGATATTCCCCCCGGGCCTGAAACTGGTGGTGGAGTTTAGATAGATGAAGTTTGGTTAATCCATAGAGGCTGGTATACAGGGTGATGCTTGAGTTAGATGTCACTGAATGAACAAAGTTTGCATAAACTGTCCATGAAGAGCAAGCATGAAGCGACTGTGGAGAGAAAAAACTCCCCTTTGGGAAAAAATCTCTGGCAGAACCAGGCTCAACGTGGCGGTCTTCTGCCGGACCGTTTAAAGTGACAGGGAACTCCATGAAAATCTGGAGGGAGTACACACTGGAGGTGAGGTTGAAGGAGCATCGAGGAGGAGTCGGATGAGCTTACTACAATGGTGGAGAAGGGGATGGAGGTGGGTTGTCTGAATCAAAGTCCGACATAGGAGCGATGGATCTTGCGCTTGTTGAAGAGCAGGCCTAGAGATGATTTGGAGTGGCTTTAAGTAGAGTGCTGGAAGATGATTGGGCATTGAGGAAAGTGGCTTGAAGCGGGTTGGCTGCGTCGGAGGCGGATCAGCCTCAGATTGAATGGAAGTAATCAGAGTTTCTTCAGTTGAATTTCCGCCTTAGCTTCATGTTAGCATCATGACAACAATAAAATTCATGTGATACTGTAATTATATACTAAATATATGGCAGAAGTCTTGGTAAGATAGCATTTAAGAGCTCCTATGTGTAAAAGCACTTAAGCAATCAATTAGTGAAATTTTCATATATAATGTTTGTATATTACTATTATCTTTATAAACTTATATTTAAAGGAAATATTTTAATGAATTTGTGTTTATTTTTTCCCGCCTTTACAAGCAGATATTATTTGCTCTTTTGAGACACTGCTAATGTTATTAAAACAAAGCTTCTTTTTTGTTTTGCTTTTGTATTTTTTACATTTCTCATATACTTACTGAAAATAGAAGGACCAAATCTCATGAATTAAGTTATTTTGGTTAAACCTTTCATTTGTCCGTTAACATTTGCCTGTTTTCTATCATTTTCCTCCACTACAAAAGAGCAAGAAGTAATGCATGAGGTAAGTCCGTTGACGATAAAAGGTTTGTTTCAATTTTCAAAAACATAAAGTTTTACATTTGCAAATAAGTAATAAATATATTGCCTTTGTTTTTGTTTTTCTTACTCTTGGCCCAGCAGATTGAAGATCTGACTAATAGGATAATCAGCAGAGCTCCAAGTGCACCAGCTAAAAACAATTAGAAATGGATCGATAGGGTTTATAAACTGGATAAAAAGTAAATTGCTCAAAATATTAAATCCAGAGCATTCAAGTAGAAACTTTAGGTTATTACTGTACCAAGGTAAATCTATCCATTATATCTGATTTGGAGATGTATTCATGATAAATTGTGGGTTTAAATGTAACTCCTTACCCATGACAGGTTTAATGATTAAAGGCTTGCCTGTGGAAGGGAATGATTCATCACACAAGGTTTGATTTTCTTTAGGTACCCATGTAGACATGAGTGTCCCATTCACAGAGCAGTTTATAAATATGAAGCCTACAAGCAAAGAAAGACAATAGATTTAATGATTACAAATATTATTTTGAATTAATCATAGTGTATTCAAAATGTTTGAACTCACCACAGGTAGATAATTGTATTTGTTTGAAAGAAACACTGACTTGGTTTCTGACTGAGCAGACCAGATGTCCTGAGATGCTTTCCTTCAGAACGATGATGTTAGACTCATTATTTCCAGAGAGAAGCTCAGAGTCTGTCAGTGTGTGTCCATTCAATGTCCATCCGTACTGAGGACTGTCGCCTCCCTCTGAGAGACAGGACACCTTCATCTGTCCCTGAGACAAACATTCAGGGACCAGCTGGGCAGAGGACACAGGAGCTGGGAGAAAAGATGTTGTTTTTTTCACATTTGTTAATAATAAAGAGGAAGCTTTTAATCCTTTGTGTTTTGCTAGTTTGAAGATGAAAACAATAACAATATTTTGATAGAATCAGAAAATGTGAAAATACATATCACTGTTAGCTTAAGCTCTTTTTAATACATGTAAAAATAATACAAGCCTAAGCCTAACCATGCTTATATTAATGGGGACAGTGGCAACAGCTAAGACAATCCCCCTTCCTGTCAGCTGAAATAAAATCACATGCACTGGTTAAACTATGTGACCTTGACACATACAAGCCGTATAAGCTAAAAGTGAACTTTTTTTACTCCATGTAAATTTGAACTAAATTACAAAATTGATATACTTATCACTGTTAAATTAAGCATTTTTGTTCATGTAATAATATAAGATCTTGATAAATCAAAATAATTTAATCTGAAAGAAGGAAGAAATCACCTATAGCAATCAACTGAAGAGTGTGTGTCTTCAAACTTTTTCCATCTGAATTAAAGGTTTCCATTGTATAATTACCACTGTCATTTCTGATGACATTCATTATTTGTAATGTACCATTACTGGGAAAAAAAAGATATCTGTTCTTGAGAAGAAATGTCAAAGAACGATCTCCACGATCTCCACTCGAAAGAATTATTGCTCCTTTCAATTTTAATCTATATCTAGGTGTTCCTGAGGCATTATTTATCAGCTGGATGAGGACTGTTCCTCCCAAAGGTGCAAAACACAGAGCTCCATCTTCTCTGCCATCACAGGTAGTTTCTGCACCTGCAATGATGCAGAAACAAAACAGAAACTGTAATTGCCTAAACTTTACGAACTTGTCAAAAAGAAAGACAACAAAAATGATTGTAATATTTCTTGTTCTGAAAAGACAGGTCACAGGGTTACTTTGCCCTGAGTGACTCTCTGGAACTCTACTGTCTGAGTTTTCCTCTTAAATTTCAGGAGCTTAAACAGAGAAATTTAAAATCTTTACTTCACAATGGCTACAGATCATGCAATATTTGATCAAAAAGTATCTAAAACATTAATAAGTATCAAGCTGAAGATGATTTCTTCTACAATGTTATGTTTGTGGATATTGATATTTCTTGGACAAATTAGGTATCCCTTTAGATAAAATGTTTCAGGTTAGGTTAACTCCATTTTGTAAAGAATTCTGTAAGATTTGTTTTCTTTATGTAGAAAACATTAAAGGGGCACCATTAGTTGAGGTTGCAGGGTGAACTGCATAGATGACTGAGAAGATGAAAAAACAGGAACACAACAAAAAGAAGGAAAAAAAAAGATATAAACTCTTTATAAACTCTTTTTAATCTAAATAGATACACCATATTTTGCATGTTTTTCTTTTTCTTTCTTTACCTGCAACCAAGGCTTTTAGGATATACATTTTGATCATTGAAAGCATTTACTTCCGCAGTTAAATAAAGATGACCCAATTGACAGGCTGATCATTGCTAAAAGCAACATTTTACATCAGTCCAAACTAGAGTTTTTGGGGGCAAAAAGTTGAGAAAGTAAACAAATGTGTTTAGCTTCAGCTTAGTCTCCAAAAGATGAATAACAACAGTCACTAAATCTTATAGAGAGATTAGACACAACTGCATACACACGAAGCCATATGGCAGATACTCTAAATTAATCTATGCATCTAAATTCACTGTAGTTCAGAGTACAATTCAGATAAATTTCTATTTGTCTTGAGGCAATTCTCAACTTAAACTACTTCTTGATTATATCCAATTGTAGTGTTGAAAAAAAATATTTTAGATTATCAATTTTTATATAATAAAATAAATTACCAACTCACCCATTGTAGTGTTGAAAAAAAATATTTTAGATTATCAATTTTTATATAATAAAATAAATTACCAACTCACCCTTAGATAAGTCCAGTAGCACCAGTAACAACCCAACAGCAGCTTTTAGTAGTTTAAACCAGCTAACAGGCTCCATTTTTTAAAAATGTCATCTGATTCTGCCTGGCCTGAGTAAAAGAAGCACTAAACGTGTGAAAATTGAAGTATTAATAGACTATGAGAGTCTTGACCACAGCAGAACCACAGCTACATTTTCCAGTGCAGTTGATAAAAACATGTGATAACAACAACAAGTAGCATTTCACAGTTTGACTGTGAGCCTTGGTAAATATTCAAACAACACAATTGGCGCAGTGATACAACAACTTATCAGTTTAAAGCAGAGAAACGTTTACAAATGATAACTTTTAACAAATCCAAATGCTAGGTTGATTTGTAATTTCTAAAGTAAATATCTATTAGCTATTAGGTGTCTGGTTGGGTTGCCTTTGTGTTTCTTGCTTGCCTTGTAATGGAGACTGTAATTATAAAATTATTGTGTGGACATATTAAACATTAAAAGAAAGAAGATGCTACATTTCTATCCTGTGATTCAACCAGAAGGGTCATAAACTTATATGACCTCCTTCCAGTAGGTCATGAGGCAGAATCACACGGTTGTGTGACTTCCATCCAACCAGATGGTCATCTTATGACCTGCATCCTCCCAGATAATCATTACTGGGTCTTCTGTTTAAGGCCCGCCCTATGATGTTGTAAACTGTTAATAAAAGGCTTTGCTATGAAAGGATCTGTGTGAGAAGGTGCTGGTTTCTGAGCCAACACCTTTTCTCCGCTTCTGCAGAGGCTGACGTCAAAAACCCTGTCTATGTGTTGATTATTTCCTCTTAATCTTTTAAACTCACATTTCTCTGGATTAAAACCCAACAGAGACCTGCTCAGGATTTCTACGGAGCGATATTTGTGCCTTCGGTTTGAGCGAGCAGGAACCAATCCGAGCGCGCAGTGAGACAACACGCGTCTGTTCAAAACCTGTCCAGCGCAAGCTCAACTCTATAATATCAGTTCCATCTCTGCGAGTGCTCGGATCCCTCTCTGCTCGCGCTCAACCTGCTCTCTCCGCGCTCAACACCAGCTGTGCGCTCGACTCTGTGTCTGCGCTTACGAATTCATAAATGTATGTAAATATGTATGGGGCCAAAATTGTTGCTTTATTTTTTACAAATGTGTGGTGGAGAGTTGTATATCTGTATCTCGATTTGTGCGTGTGCAGGGGGATTTGAAAATGTGTAAATGCAAACAACTGATTTGGGATTGAAACAAATATATCATACTGTCTGCTGACTGAATGATTGTGTTTAAATTAATATAACGCTGAACTACAATCAGAGCAAATTAAACTTCTAAATGGAATAATTTCTTCAATCCATTCTAAGGCCAATATGATCACAAACCTTTCTCCTTTGGAGGCTGAATTTATGGAGTGATTTTTCTGCCAAAACCTTCATGTTGCATGTTGTACACACTCACACACATACTGTAAAGCATATTGCAAATGCATAAAGCATGTTTCACACAAACAAATCGTATCACTCACAAATAAACATGTTGCACTCAAATGAATGTTATTGTTCACAAATAAATCTAATATCACACACAAATAAAACTTTTTCTCAAACTGACCTTAAATGTTGCACAAACAGAGAAAGTGGTTTTACAAACCGGACTCTAACATTGCACTGAAAATATAATTTGTAAATTGTGCGTGAGTACAAAACGATCTCTGCTCGCATACGAAACAGCCTCTCCTCGCATACAAGACAATTCTTCACACTCCAAAATTCACGTGATACTTTGAGAATTTTCATTCTGACTAACTGAAAGCAGGAGGCGCCATACAATCAAAACAACTGAAAGGTGCCGGTGTTACGTCGAGCTGCGTTTCCCCATCAGATACCTGGTTTTCCCTGCATCTCCGCACAGCGCAGGCAGCATGGATGGATGGATGAGCAGAGATCGTTTTGTACTCGTGGACAATTTACAAATTATATTTTCAGTGCAATATTAGAGTCCGAGTTGTATGTGTATGTGTGTGCACAACATGCATTTTTGTACACAATCTTTTGGCAGAAAAATCACTCCATAAAGCGGCACCAAACCTGGAAGAAGCTGAAGTGAGGAAAACTCTGAGGAGGGTCAACCCAAGGAAGGCCCCAGGGACCTCGATGGACCGATCTGTAGTGCCAGCACGCTTAAAGTCTGCCACCATTATTCCGGCCCCAAAGAAGCCTCAGGTCACCTCACTAAATGATTACTGGCCTGTTGCACTGACTTCCATCATGATGAAGTGCTTCAAAAAGCTGGTTCAAGAACATATCATCTCCAGTCTGCCACCAACATTCGACCTGTTCAAGTTCGCCTACCGACGGAACCGCTCCACTGAGGACGCCATCTCTGCTGCTCTCCACCTGAGCCTGGCACACCTGGAGGAGAAGAATAAGTGCAGATGCTGTTCCTGGACTTAATACACCCCAGATTCAATACACCCCTCTGCAATTGGCTGCAAGACTTCCTCACAAGCAGACCTCAGTCAGGCCGGGTCAGTCAGAACACCTCTGATGTCATTAGTCTAATTACAGGCTCCCCTCAGGACTGCGTACTGAGCCCCCTCATGTTCACCCTGATAACAAACGACTGCATCCCCAGGTTCACCATCAATCACATCGTCAAGTTTGCAGACGACACCACGGTGGTGGGCCTCATCAGTGATGACAACGACCAGAACTACAGAGAGGGGGTGGAGCAGCTGGTGGACTGGTGCAAAGATAACAGCTTGATCCTGAATCTTGAAGACGAAGGAGATCATCTTGGACTACAGAGAGAACCTGCCAAACCACGCTCCACTGGTCATCAACAGCTCAGTTGTAGAGGTGGTCAACAGCACCAAATTCCTGAGGGTGCACACCACAGAAACCTGCAATGTAAACACCACCTCACTGGTCAAAAGGGCACAAAAGCGCTTGGACTTCCTGCGGTGGATGAGGAGAGCCCACCTGCCCCCACCCATCCTCACCACCTTCTACAGAACCACCATAGATAGCGTTCTGACCAGCTGTCTCACTGTGTGGTGTGGAAGCTGCAGTGCCTCAGACTGGAAGAAGGTGAGAAGAGTAGTAAGAACAGCAGAGAAGATCATTGGGGCTCCTCTTCCCTCCATTAAAGACATTTCATCCTAGCGCTGTGTGTCACGAGCATGTAATATCATAAATGACCCCTCACACCCCCATCATGGACTGTTCTCCCTGCTGCCATCTGGTAAGAGACTTTGAAGCATTGGATGCAGGTCCAGCAGATTCCACAACAGTTTCTTCCCCACTGCCATTAGACTGCTGAATGTTATGTAAAATTGTTTTTTTTTTTTTTTTAAGAGAATGTTAGGACTGTAACTATACATTCATATGTTTACGTTACTGTTTTTCATCACAATCATGGGAGTAGGTTTGCATAGGGACCATAGGGATATGTCCCTACCAAAATTTTGGACCGACCTACTTGTCCCTACCAATAATTGGATATAAATAGCACTTTTATAATTTACAATACAGCATTGTTGCAGCAGTGGCTTCTTGGTTCTGCTGCCCAGTAGCTGCTGCTGCTCCAAGTGCTGCCTGCTCTTTCCTGACCCTTTAAACTGTTTAACTCCACTCTGATTTTTTTCCCTTAATTTCCGCCTTCTCTCTTTCTGATTGTTTGTTTTCTGGTC